ATAATATAATAAATATTGCATGTAGTTGAATGTAACATTAAAAATTTTTACCCCAAGAAAACCATTGTCAACCCGAGGCGCAGCCGAGGTTGACAATGGATTCTTGGGATGAAAATTTTCAATGTTACACTCAACTACATGCAATATTTATCTAATATAACTGGTTGTTTCCTGTACATGTGCAATAAGGTTCCAGAATTTTCATTCTGGGGGCCATTTAGGATCGAATATATATATACATGTATATATATATATATATATATATATATATATATATATATATATATATATATATATATATATATATATATATATATATATTTCTACAAAAATCTCGTTCTAAGAACTCTTGAACTATACGAAGTAGCCATATCATCTTTAAGAATATGAGTGGTGTAATATCAAGTATACATGTACATGTAGATGTGCAATTAGGTTTTAGGAGTTTTCAACTTCATCCTTGAGGCTAATAAAGGGTCAAACACTGACGTTTTCCTACAAAAACTGGTTCTCAGAACTTCTGTTTCTTTACAGTAACCAATTCATCTGATTATTGATGTCCCAACTGTGGATGTGCAATAAGGTTTCGGAATTTCATTTTTCTCCGGTAAGGTACCTATGGGCTGAAAAACAGCGTTGTTCTTTAAAACAAAAAAGTGACTCCCAGACCCCCTCTTAAATTTTGGCAGTAGTCAATTCGTCTATTGGAAAATAATTGGTGATAAGGTTTGGAATTTTCATTCTTTTATCCTTGGGGCCAATTGGATCGGGTCAAAAGACGACGTTTTTTCTACTTTACATTTTACGCAGTATTCGTATTATCTTTTGGAATACTATTATTGGTATTCTTTGGATGAGCAACAAGGATTCGGAATTTTCTTTTTCATCCTTGGGGCAAATCTTACATTTTACGCAGTAATAACATTTGTTCGTTTCAAAAGTTTTTATTTACATCCTGGGGACAAATTAAGGGATGAAAAACAACGTTTTTCCCCATGCATAAACCCGGTTCCCAGACCTGTGGAATATGATCGGTGGTGTTCTGTAGACGTGCAATAATGCTTCATAGTTTTCACCCTAGAGGCAAAACAACGACATTTTCTACAAAAACCTGGTATCAAGAACCCCTCTTACATTTTACGCAGTAATAATAATAATAATAATAATAATAATACTTTATTTAAAGAGGGTAACCCGATTAGTGCAAAGCACTAGTCTTCCTCAGGGCCCTGTATGCATGTATAGTACAAATATAAATACAACAGTACAATAATCAGAAAAATACAAGTATATGACATAGGTGAAAGCATTTGAGAAAAGTATATATCATTAAAACATAGAAACCAGTTACAAATTAAGAAATGTTGCGTCCATTGATGATAAATTTTTCTACATTTTTACGAAAGGATTGTGAAGTTGATGAAAAACGTACATGTAGTGGTAATTTGTTCCATAAATGAACGCCTGAATATTGAAAAGAATTTTTAAACATATTTGTTCGATACTTTGGTAGACTAAGGTCATAATTGGATTCAGAACGTAGGATATAATTATTAGAGGAAATGAATTCAAAAGAGTCTCTCAGATAATCAGGTGCCATACCATGAAGTGTTTTATAAAGCAATGTGTATTTGTTAAAATCTATCAATTCATATATAGTCAACCAACCAAGTTTCACAAATAGTGGTAGTGATGGAGCATCTGGTGCCACATCTAATATAATTCTGGCTGCTCTTTTTTGTAATTTAAAAACTCTTTCTATGCCAGCACTTGGAGCATTGCCCCAAATAGTCAAACAATAATTCAAAGAAGGCAGAATATATGCATTATAGAAAAGTTTTCGTGTATGTAATGGGAGAAATTTTTTGATTTTACGTCATGTAAATAGTTTATATGTCAAGGACTTGCAAACAGAATCAATATGACTATTATAGTGCAATGAATGATCAATATGTACTCCTAGGAGTTTTTCTGATTCAACATTTTTAAGAACTTTGTCTGATACACACAAATCTAGTTTTGAAGATGTTAACTTAGATTTTCTATGTTGAGTTCCCATAAGCATACATTTTGTCTTATCAATATTCAACATCATTTGATTTCTAGAACACCAGTTTTCAATCTCACACAAATCATCATTTAGGGCATTTTCAATAGAATGCACATTATTATGATATGTATGTAAAGTTGCATCATCAGCAAACAAATCAATATCTGTATTATTTACATGTAGAGGAAGATCATTTATATACAGTAAAAATAAAAGTGGCCCTAAAATAGAACCTTGAGGCACACCTGCTGTGACGGGCAAGAAGTTAGAGGAATATGTACCTAGTTTTACACATTGTGTCCTGGAGCTTAAATAGGAATAAAACCATTTAATTGACATTTGATCAAAGTGATACAACTTAAGTTTATTTATCAGAATATTGTGATTAACTAAATCGAATGCTTTACTAAAATCTAGAAAAGTTATCCCTACAAGATTTCCTTGATCCATAGCTTGTAACCAATTGTCTGTTAGTTTTGTTAATGACGTTTGACAGGAATGAAACTCTCGAAAACCAGATTGTGATTTATATATAAGATCAAAGGTAGTGGTAAAATCCCGTAGTTGATTGGCTATGTGCTTTTCAATTAATTTGGACAATGTTGGAAGAATTGATATAGGTCTGTAGTTTCCTGGATCAGCATGGTCACCATTCTTAAAAATAGGAGTAATTTTTGCTTTCTTTAAACGTGATGGAAATACATCATTAATGATCCTCTGGAATATAGTTATTAGTGTCCTGTAGATGTGCAACAGGCCCGTAGCAACGGTTTCAAAAGTGGGTGGGGGCAACTTCCCCCAAAAAAATCTGAGGGAAAAAAAAACACTCACCAAATATAAGAGGGGGGGGGGACTTCCCAAAATAATCTGACAAGCCCCCACCCTAATTAACTGTCCACATCCTGGAATTTGTCAGTGCTCGACCATGCACAACAAAAAAAAGGGGCAGCATCTAAAGGAAAATTAACTATTGCGAAATACTATACTCAGAAAAAAGTGGGGGGGGGCGGTAGGGCGGACCCCCTGCGTTCTACGGGCCTCTGCAATAAGGTTCTTTGTCCCCCGGGAGGCAAACTGTGGATTTTGGGTGAAAGAAATTTTAGCGGAATTGCAAAAGGTACATATACGGTGTGGATGGACATTTTATCGGAAGAAAAATCAGTTACCTGTAAAAATTCAACGAACATTTTAGCAGATTTTTTTGACAGGTAAATTCGATTCATTTTAAACAATGTGTAATGTCGGCAAAAATTGACAAATTCAGGACTGATTACAAGTTTTTCAAAAATAGATAATTTTTTCCCAAGAATTTGACATTGAAGTATTGCTTCTTTAACAAGTTTCTTCACAAAAAAAAGTACGTTACCAGACATTTGTGAAGGATACCAGAGGATGTTGTGTACTCTATAACCCTATTGGAAATCACTAGTACATGTTGTGGAATTTACGATTTGCCTTCTCTTTAGTATCTTTTATATCAAGAATGAACACGCATAAGGTAGATAATTGAAGAAATATACACAAGCCCTTATGAAAAAAAAGTCTAGAAAAGGCAAGAATTTAATACTATTGAAGTGTGGCACCAAGTAGATTCGAACCATCACTCTCCAACATTCCTCGGTGTTAATAGTCACAGTTTATACCACAATTCGAGCTATGAAAATAAATGGGATAAATATGAACCAGTTTGACGAAAACAGAATTCCTTATTCTTGTAGTTTTTTGTGAATTTCTACCCCAGGGCAGTGATCTCCCCAAAAATCCTTTCTCAAATTATTCCTTACATCACAACCTATCATAATATTATTTAGAGGCAGACTTGCCCTGAAGGACTTCTAGGCCAAAATGCATGGGGAAAAAAAATCAGTGCTTTGACGGAGAAAATGCTGTTTTATCCGACTTTGGAGGTTAAATTTAAAGTTTTAAATAATAAATTATAGGTTCAAAAGAAAAAATTAGACATACATAAGGTATAAAATAACTAATGAACATTGATTTTAAATGTGACTTTTTCCGGGAAATTCTTCTCTCCTATTGGTCAATTCTTTTTTAAATTCTGAATACATCCTTTATTCTTTCGCTGAAGGTTGCACTACAGTATTAAATGTTGCTATGTATTCTTACCAAAAATGTACAACTTTGAACAGGTGGTCTTAATTCAAAACAAACATTTGAGAGGTTTCCTTTTCAGATCTTGTAAAACATCAAGTGCAGGACCTAACCCCCCCTCCCCCCCCCCTTCAATACAGTATGTAAAAAAAATCAGCACGCCCTAAATTTTAATGAATCTGGGCAATACAATAAGTTTACATGTCGTTTTTCATCTCATAAAAAAAAATTCAGCTCTTGTCTCGTGCAAAAATGCCCGAATCGGGAGGGAAGATTTGACGTGAACCTCAACTGAAATACTGTTACAACACCTGAACATCCACTGTATGGACAAATTATTATATTACTGAAGGACACGGAAGCACTACTATCAATGTGAAAATCTGTCAAAATGCTCTCACTTCCTCCGACTTTGTCAGTATTATTATTTTTTGTTAAAGCACAGAATTTCTACTTTCCTTACAAGTGATAAGACACAAAACAAAGATGTTATATGTGCATCATATTTTTATTTTATTAGAATTCATTATTCATTCAATTTCATCAATAAATCACATCAAAAATCTACTGGCTTTTTGTTCAAGATTGAATTTTTCTGTCTGGTATTAACATACTTTTAACCCTGTTCTGTTTTATGACATGTTGCACATATTATTCCACAGCTGGTTAATTCAGTTTAATTAACTAATTTGGCAAATATCAAAAACACATGAAATAGCACTGACTAGCTATGATGACAAAACAAGCTTGATGCATAATCTGTGCGTTCAAATTGTACTGAAGCAATAAGATACAAAACACACCTTAATTTTCTTCAACATTCTGCTATTTATTTTTAAATATTTGGTCTTAACTTGGAATGTGAAGCAAGAGTTCCTCAGTCAAAATAAATGACTTAGTCATCAAATATTGCACATTTTCACAAAGAAATTGTCACTGAAAAGTCAGTTATTAAAATAAATATTTGATTTGCATACAACATATGTACAGGCAATCAGAAGGAAATTTCAAAAGTTTGAAATATTTTCTAGGAAAGAATATATTATTTTCACAGATGATATACTGGACAGCAATTATCAGACTCTTTCCAGTGAATATTTTTTTAACTTGTCCAGAATGGAGTATTAGCAATGGTATATTATAATGTGTAACCTGATTAATCCAAAACATAGCTAACCCATACCAATGAAATAACAATAAATATTGTTTTCTTTAAAGCTTAGACTTTTCAGAACATTTTTCTTCCCTTGAGTATACATTAAAAGAAAAAAGTTTTCTCAACAAGATGTCAGTTGTTATGAAAATAACTTTATGTTATGAATATGAATTTCAAGTTTCATCTCAATGTCTGCAAGCCCTAATATCAGAGTAAAAAAGAGATAAGCCCAAATCTGTCAAAAAAGGTTAGAGGTCATACCCAGGAGAGTCCAGTTACTATTAATAAAGGCTAAGGCATCTTGGAACAACATCATACAGAACAACATTAGAAATACTGGATTTTTTACAAGGCTGACACTTATGCTACCATGTATTTTCTGCTCAATTGTAAATCGACAAAATCCAAAATTAAATGTCACAAAAAAAAAAAAAAAAATCTAACAAAATTTGTATTGGTCTTTTATATCTTTGTGATATGATAAACTTCCCTGTTGCTTTTACATTTAGATAGATAAAAATATTTTCCCTAAACAACCACAGACATTAACATCCAGTAATTTTAATCTGAAAAAAATCCACATCAGTAATCATTTCCCATAGATTTGTATAGCTTACAGGAGCACCACAAAGTCACTTGGTAAATAAGGCATAATATTCTTTACATCCAAGCACAGAAAATCTGTGAAAGTATTAAATACAAATCTGATTCTGTTCCCATCTTATGGTTCACCGGCCTTTTTTAAAGTAATCATATGTGTGTGACATTTTTGTTATCCATCAAATGGTCATGAAAATGGAGGAGATGATTCATTTATTTTCAATTTCTTTATGATATACACCAAAGAATGAAGAAAACTTATACAGAGGCAATATGCATCAAATCATAAAATTTCAAATAAATTTCAGATTAAAGCAACAGAAAGTTATGAAAAAGTATTTGTTCTGTTTTACATAATTTCTTTTTTGGATTGCAGTTTTTAGGGGGCATTTTCATTCATCCTAACTCTATTTATTTATTTTTTAACATTTATATTTAAAAAAATTTGATTTCTCTAAGTAGTCAACAAATTCCTTCAAACTCTGCATACTGCCTCCTGTATATGTGATAATTTTATTTAATGAAAAGAATTCATGTCTCCATCTTTATAAAGGCACTGAATCATTTTGTTTGAAGAGGAGATTTCACGTTATTTGAATAACGGTATTACACTCTTAAGCAGAAAAAAATCTTTTATACATTTGAAATTAAAATAAGTGTATGAAAAAAAAGGTACAAAATACATGTAACTTTTGAAAATAATTAATGCACATGTACCAGTCTCAAGCCCATTTTGGAATACACATCCATACAATGTTAAATGCACTAAAAAGAATAAACTGATTGCAACTTACATACATCACACTACAGAAAGAATATAAACAACATTTACCCAAACAAGAAAACAAAACAAATTTGTACAAAATGGAGTTCAAACAACTTTCAATATCAAGATCTATTAGCTATCACAAAAACTTATCCTCACTGTATGTAACATGACAATGAGCAACTGAGAACAAAAAATATATAAACAACAAAAAAATCTCGAGCACCAATGACTCCCCTCAACACCTAAAGTAGAAACATTAAATCTCATCTATTCTTTAATAAGAAATACTTCTAAGCCCATATTTCTCATTTTTTAATACTGAAACACATACCGGTAAATCCACTTGTATCTAACCTTTAACATGTTAAAACTGGCCCCAAAACCATAAACCGAGAAAAGACTTTAATTAAAATTTCAAATCTGTTAGTATTCTTTTGAAATAATCAAGAAAATAAAACCGAATCTTCATTAAGTGTTTACATTTGAATATTTACAAACATGCAACTTTTCAAACATGTTTGTTGAATTAAAATCAAGATATTCAAAATCTAAATTTTGACTTACTCTGTTCATAGTTCATGGTCTTGGGGCCTGGTCTTATTCATTTCTGATAGCAACCAATTCTAAAAAAACATATCAGACATCCTGCTCCAAAAAAAAAAAAACCAACCAAGAGTTCATTCTTATACTTCCCTGAGGTTAATTTGATCTCTGTTTTGGGGGGTGTTTTAAAGGGGCCCAACTTTTCACTCATTTGCAAAAAAAAAAAATGATACTAAATATAACAGAAATATATTAATAAAGGTAAAAGTAGCAAGTTTCTGCATTGCTTTGAGTGATAAATTTCTAAATAGTATTTAAATAGACAACCTATGACTACAAAATTATACATATGCAGAATAAATGAATACAACAAAGGAGCATCAATGATATAAGGTAGTGTTGATGAGATGATGTCAGTAACTGACAAGCAAACAGACAAGCTCTCACAGAGCAGACTGATCCTGACTGGCTAGAACCGAAGGAGATATACGGCCGGAGTCCATAGCGATTTCACAACTGTGATGCCTTATTCTACCCTTCTTCTGTTTGGCTATGGCACAATCTTCATGACTTTTACTTTTGCTTAGATTGCGATGTTTCTCCATGCTTTTGAATTCCTGCTGTGTGATAAGTGCAGTTGTAGATACAGCTTTACGTGCGGTCTCGGTTTCCTTAAGGACAGGCTTGTCACTCTCCACTTCCGGTAATGAAGCAGCTAGTGCCTTCTCAAAAGCTGAAGAATGATCATTAAAGGTCTCTGGTGATTTACCACAAATGACTTCTTTAAATATAGGATTATTTACTGGTTCAAACACGGACTCTTCATTTAAATCCATCTCCTCGGAATTCTCATTCAAACTTTGGGAAACAATTTCATCTGTTTGAAAATTCTGCAGGCTGACACGATCAGAGAAGTGAACACTCTGTTGTTCTGATCCACGATCACTGGCCATTGAACGCTTACAACGTCGACACTTATGCTTGTGATCATCCATGGAAGAAAGACGCACACTGCACCCAGACACCGGTGAACTCTGACCTGATTGATTGCGAGGTTTCTCTGGGACGTTTCTCTCAGAGTAGTCCTCTGGACTTTGAGTCTGTGAGGAATCCACATCAACCTGGACTTCATATGGTGATGTCCCTATAGAAGTGTTGTCTCTGTCCCTAAAAAATTTTTTTCAACAATACATTACACAAAAGATCTCCAAGTAAATCTTTAAAATATTTAATCCTACAGTATCAAGCTATTAAATTTTAATAGGTACTGCATACAGGGAAATTTTCACCCCAATTTTGTTTTTGCCCCTTTTGCCCTCTTTCCAAGAGAGCAAATTTAAAACAGGGCAAATTCATCAAATCTTTTCAATTTGTGTCTGAGCAAATTTAAAATGGGCAAAATTGTTTGCAAGTGTGAGAGGGTGATAATATGCGGCGAAAATAACTCTATACACTATATCACTTTCAGGTGCCACAATGTGCAATAAGAATGTTATGTATAAAATTACTTCATTATTTATGTATGAACAACCATAACAAGAGTAGAGTTACTTTCAGGTAGTTTAATATAGATTTACTGGATGATCTGTAAACCTGAGATCATGCCTCTATACCTGTATCCAGCTATGGATCCCGCCAGAGCCTTTGTACTAGCATTGTCCCCTATAGACACAGTTCCTGACTTTTCTCCAATGCTGAAATTAGCTGAACCACTACTAAAGCTGTTTCTCTTCTGTAGATTTGAAGACACATCTGCTTGCACTTCAAGTCTGGAGTCAAAATAATGATAATTAAGAAATGAAGATTTAAGATATCTGTTCACAATATTAACCTACGCCACCTTTCACTACAAGGGCCATGATGCTTGAACTTAGCAATGCATTTGTATGAGTCTAAGTATGTGTTGCCTCTCTGTTCTGAAGAACACATTAAAGATTTCTTCTTTTAAATCTTGTGTAAAATGTTGACCTCCTATTATAGCTTTACCAAAGCCAGAGTGGCCACAATTTAGACAAAACTGAATCTGCACAACATGAAAATGCTAAATTTTAAGCTGGCAATTTTCAAAACTGTCTATAATACCTACCTGCATTTAAAATCCAGATTGTCAATGATGTCATACATGAATATTATTCAATTACAAATAAAATCAATATTGTAACTGATAATCAGCATTCAGTGTGGTGGATAATCAGTGTGGTATAAATTATATACCGATAATGAACATAGAAGTTTGGTCAATTATTGACATTCTACTCCTTTGTACTTATTCATCCAGCAGTGACACTTCTTATTTACTTATTAAACCAAAATTATGTTCTTTTTTAAACTCATAATCATTAAATTTGTGTATGTTTTCCCTCTCTTTCTTTTGTTAAAATACAACAGGTATTCTTAAGTTCAAACTCAATTTCACAAAGTGAAAAATAGAAATATACAGTAGAACTTCGGTATCTCAAACACTGATATCTAGAATACCATGGATATGTCAAAGTGTTTTGGAAGTCCCAACTGCTTATATTCTTCAAGTATTTTACCCTTGATATCTGGAATCCTTGGATATCTCTGTTTTTTCTCTGTCCCATTGAGTTTGAGATAATGAGGTTTGAGTGTATTTGCAAAATACTATTACATGTATGTAATAATAGCTGAGATGGTGAATACATGGAGAATATCTATATGTATTATTAATGTATATCAACAGTTCCTTCTTTTCATTGCTGTTTTATTGAATTTACAAAATACATCATGTGTACTACATGTGTATTAATGCTATGTAAAAGTTTCCTTCTTCTATCATTTCACTAACACAGCAGGTGATGTTTACTTGAATTCCACCTTATGATATATATTTCACATGTATAAATAAGACCTGCTGTTCATCATTACATGCAACTTACTTTGACTGGAAAGCACTAATGAGTGAGGCCCCCTCACATATACTGCCATTGAGACTGAGTCCTCCAATGGCCCGAGTACTGGCAGTATCCCCCTCATCTCGAATTACCCCTATCCTCTCCATGTGGCTTCCACTGGCACTCAAACTGCTTGTCATACCAAGCGAGGCATCCCCAATACTTGGCCCAATGCTAGGGTTGGCTACATTATGACCTGTTCCCACACTTTGATTATCTGGAGATAGGAATTAAAAATTTCATCACTGTCCCAAAACACTTTTGGAGACAAAAATTAAAAAACAAAATCTTAAAATCTTTGCTTTTGAGATAAGAGGTTTATAGAAAGAAACTCCTTTTGAGATGAGTGGTTAATAGAAACAAACTCATTGCTTTTAAAATGAGTGGTTAAATTTTTGTTTATTTCCACATTCAGATACTTTGCTATTACAATTCAAAGGAAATGTTTGTACAATAAGAATACACCCAAACTTTTTTTTTTAACACTGACCTAAGTGTTGACCAATGGTTCCTGCTGTATCATTTTCTTCATCAAATTCAAACCTGACACCACCCTTTCCTGACGTTGTGACCCCACAGCCTCCACTTCTACAGAGGGAGATGGGTACCACACCATATACATATGCCAAGAGGATAGGAACTCCTATTGCTGTAGCAATTAGAACATAAACCTATCACAATACATTCACCATCCCCAATTACAATGAAAACTGATTAGAAACCTGTACATTACATATTACAACTAATAAAAATTATCTGAAGGACTGGGAATGCTACTTAAATTTGGTCTTTGACTTTATATACAATAAAATCAGAAAGAACTCCATTACCAGTTTTTTGTTAACTCTCAAGCAAAAAAAAATTAATTGAATCTACCCCTGCAGATACATGTATTATTTCACTGGAAATAATCAAATGATAATGAAAAATAATTTTTCAGTAACTTTTAATTTATTATTTTCCTTTTGTTTACATGTTATACATATTATCAATATTTTCAGAGTTTTGAGATGTTTGTTCCGCTTTCCATAGAGAAGACATTTCACTGATGCTTATTCACTTACCTACAGTTAGTCCTGCCACCACTGGGGCAACAATGACTGAGGCGGCTACCCCTCCAGTTATAGCCAGGTTACGTTTATGTTTTGATGTATACACCAACTCATACTTTGAATATATCTACAAGTATAATGTAATGTCATATGAATATCAAAGGAAAAATTAGACAATATTTATGGTTCATAGGGTATAAGTAATTCACATTCCTGTTTCATTTGCATGTAAAGAAAATTGAAGTGTTGATATTAACGTTTTCCTATTTGCATTACTTTTACTACCTATCAAAAAGTAAATGAATTAAATAATTTGTATCAACAGGATCAATTTATTTCTAAATATTTCCATAAAGATGTTATCATACACCCTGATACAAAGGAGGATTTGATTGCCTTAGGTTATCATTTCTCACCTTTCTTCCTACCCAGACTGGAATGCCAATGATCATAGCTGGGACAGCGATTCCTGCGATCAGTGTAATCCCCACAGGAGCCCCCACCAGAGTCCCAAGCTGCCACAGAATCTTCTTCTTTCTGCTCCATGGTTTCTTACCCCAAAATGTGCAACCGGAAGGGCTGCAATGTGAAAATCATACATGTACACAAATATTAATTAGCAACTCAAATCTGTTCAAAATTCTAGTTTGGATGTATAGACATACATATAACACTGAGTAAATGTATAAGTAAAGACTTGACAAAAAATATATGACGGTAAACTCACACTAATGTACCCGTAATTCAATTAGATGTAACTTAATTATGCCACCATAATTACACTGTATTTCATTTTTAAAGATAAACTCAAAGATAGCCCAGTGTAAAAGAATCTGATGTCAAAACAATATACGTTACATAAAAGAATTGTTCAAATCTCAAATATTTACTCAGAACATTATTCATGTTGATTTACTGCACAGGGTAAGGGATTTGATCACAAGACATAAAATATAAGGTAAGGGAATACTCTGGTTGTTCCTGACATTTCAAAATGATAACTACAGTGATATTGGCTGCATATTTTCTTCTCTGGTTGCAAAAAAAATCAATATGGCAATAACACAGATACAAATTGAAATGGACAGTGTGCCAGACACTGCATTTCATCAAACGTGTCTAAATCAGCCTTGACTTTCTATCCACAATACAAAAGAGAGACGAACACATAAGCCATTTCACAAATGTCATGACGGTAAAGCAACTATAAATTCCCAAAAAGCCAGTGGGTCATACATGTATTTCTTCAAACAGAAATTAGTACTCCAAGTAAAACTATAGATATCCATTTAGAGTTTATACCTAAGGTAGTGTAAATCGGATATTTCCTTCATACAGAGCCAGCAGAACTCGGCACCACACACCGGACAGGCCATATGGTTACAGGATCCGTCGTTCATCTTCATAATAAATGCCCCGCACCGTGGACAGGGCTTGATGTCATCCTCTACAGAGATACAAAATATACACAAGTAGAAACACAAGATAGTAATGATGTTACAAAAACAGGAAATAGATTTTAAGCAATCTCCACCAAATGAAAAGATTTTTTCTTTACACAAATTTCTTGGAAGTTTATGAAATACTGTTATCATAATTGAAGGTTCTAAAAGTCAGCACCTTTCTGATTAAAGTAATTCATAGATTCTTTTATCAACATAGAAAATTACATATAATTGCATAAAAAATCTATAGAAATAATCAGTATTTTGTCCTTTTGAACAGAATTTCACTAATGGGACAGAATTTTTTAAATATATATATTTTCATGAGTATGATGCAATATTTCAGTGCTACAATGTAACAAACAAAGCCCTCCTTGGCTGATTATAAAAACCTACAAACTTTACTTTAGGTAATAGAGAGGTTGAGATTTCATACGTGTACAGGTACGTCTAGTAGGGGAATTCCCTAAATTTCTTGCGTATTACATCATCAGTTTTGGTGTTGATAAGTTTTCTTTTTCATGCGCATCAAAAAGTTCGTTGACAAAATGCTTTGTTTAATGGGAAAATCTTATATAATTGATCTCAAAAGTTTTTTTAAAACTATACTTTGCTAGTTGTAAGGGGGTACATAATAAATTTATCATTATAACAGTAACTTGATCTGAAGAGCCGTATCACGTCTCGTTGACAGGCGCGGATCATCAGATCAAACTCAACACTTCGCGTCTCTTTGATCTGATGATCCGCGCCTGTCAACTCAACGTGATACGACTCTTCGGATCAAGTTACTGTTATAATAATGTATATATATTACAATCAGCAACAAAAAAAGATTAGACAGTGGTCTTATATGCCTGTAAAATGCCTTTTTTTTGCTCAGAGGCATGAGAGACACATACTGTTGTGTAACTCCATGTCAGGGCCATAAGTTGTTGTGGTAGAGCGCATGTTGGGTGACCTTTCTGCCCTTGCCGCATCACAAGTCTTGTTTGGGTGCCAGTGTTGTTTACAATGGTAACAAAAGTGTGTGTCACATCCTGGCCTCTCACATTTAATCTTGGGACACCCTGCACAACCTGTGGCAATCACTGCATACCTGTCAATAACAAAGATCAAACTGTCAGATCTGGAAAGAACACAAGAGCTAATATAAGAATCTGGACCCAGAAAGTGGGTATAAATAAATGACATAATGGGACTTTTCATGCAAAAAAAAATCACTTCATGTATTGCAAAGTTTAAAGGGGGGGCTTGGATTTTGAACTACCTCAGTGAGGATGCTTCCATATCAATATAACAAATAACTTTGCTGTTCTTGAGCAGAAGATTTTTAAATATTTTTTTCCTATATATTCCCTTGTTAAAAATTTGATCCCCAATTGTGGACCCTCCCTACCCCCCCCCCCTTCATTTGAACAAACTTGAATCTACACTACCTGAGGATGCTTCCATATCAATATGACTAAACATGGCTTTTCTGTTGTTGAAAAGATTTTTTCCTATACATTCCTATGTAAAAATTTGATCCCACATTGTGGCCCCACCATACCCCTAGGGGTTATGATTTGAACAAACTTGAATCTACACTACCTGAAGATGCTTCCATATCAATATGACAAAACATGGCTTCGCTGTTCCTGAGAAGAAGATTTTTCAAGTTTTTTCCCCTATATATTCCTATGTAAAACATTGATCCCCCATTATGGCCCCTTCCTACCCCCAGGGGTCATGATTTGAACAAACTTGAATCTACTCTACCTGAGGATGCTTCCATAACAATATGACAAAACATGACTTTGCTGTTCCTGAGAAGAAGATTTTAAAAGTTTTTTCCTATATATTCCTATGTAAAACATTGATCCCCCATTGTGGCCCCACCCTAACCCTGGGGGTCATGATTCGAACAAAGTTAAATCTACACTATCTGAGAATGCTTCCATATCAATATGACTTAACAAGGCTTTACTGTTCTTGAGAAGAAGATTTTTCAATTTTTTTCCCTGTATATTCCTATGTAAAACTTTGATCGCCCATTGTGGTCCCACCCTATCCCCAGGGGTCATGATTTGATACAAACTTGAATATGCACTACCTGAGGATGAATCCACATCAATATGACTAATTGTGACTTTGTAGTTCTTGAGAAGATTTTTCAAGATTTTTTTCTATATATTCATATGTAAAACATTGATCCCCCATTGTGGCCCCACCCTACCCCTGGGGATCATGATTTGAACAAATTTGAATCTGCACTACCTGAGGATGATTCTATATCAATATGACTACTTGTGGCTTTGTTGTTCTTGAGAAGAAGATTTTTCAAGATTTTTTTCTATATATTCCTATGTAAAACTTGTAATGATTTGAACAAACTTGAATCTGCACTACCTGAGGATGATTCCATATCAATATGACTAATTGTGGCTTTGTTGTTCTTGAGAAGAAGATTTTTCAAGATTTTTTTCTATATATTTCTCTGTAAAACTTTGATCCCCCATTGTGGCCCCACCCTACCCCTGGGGGTCATGATTTGAACAAATTTGAATCTGCACTACCTGAGGATGATTCTATATCAATATGACTAATTGTGGCTTTGTTGTTCTTGAGAAGAAGATTTTTAAAGATTTATTCCTATATATTCCTATGTAAAACTTTGATCCCCCATTGTGGCCCCACCCTACCCCAGGGGGTCATGATTTGAACAAATTTGAATCTACACTATGTAATGAAGGTGTCACATAAGTTTCAACTTTTACAGCCCAGTGGTTCTTGAGAAGAAGATTTTTAAAAGATACCACCAAATTTTCACTAATTCTTAATTATCTCCCCTTGGAAAAGGGGGTGGCCCTTCATTTGAACAAACTTGAATCCCCTTTACCCAAGGATGCTTTGTGGCAAGTTTGGTTGAAATTGGCCCAGTGGTTCTGGAGAAGTCGAAAATGTGAAAAGTTTACAGATGGACGGACGGACGACGGACAAAATGTGATCAGAAAAGCTCACTTGAGCCTTCGGCTCAGGTGAGCTCAAAAAAGGGAGAGTCTGTGAATACTCATATACTCAGGGAAAAAGGTAAAGTTCTTAAAATTTCAGAAATTGCAAGTTTATTTGGAATTACAAATTTAATTCACGACACAAACCCCTCCTCAACAGTACATCTTTGTTCACTTCTCTAGCATTGGATCTTCGTTAAATTGGTGAACAGATAATGACATGGTATGTAATAATGTTCATTTTAATTACCATATACAATTATTGCTGTTTTTGAGGACAATACGATTATTTAGGCATCTGAGGCAAACACCATATTTAAGCAGAATTTTAAGCAAGGATTCAATTTTGGCATTATTGGCTAGGGTTCTGAGATCGCTAAAATTGAATATCGCTAACAATTTATTCCATATCAGGTTTTATAGCTATCTCCCTCACTTCTCACTAAAATATATAACTTTTTTTGGATAATTCGCTAAATTTGCATCTTGCTATACAATACATGTAATCATTTTGATTGACAAAACACAATAATTGTTTCATCATATGATTCAATGATCAAATGCTGATGTTGTTACTTAGATCATGTACATACAAATTTCAAAACATCATAAGCTTATCAGAAAAACTTCAAGAGATTTTTAATCTATGCATATATGGATGGAAAAAAAAAAAATAAAAGTACATGTGGGGATATGAACTTTGTACAAACAATAATACTCTCATGAACTTCGAAACTGAAAAACATTTTTTAAATGATTTGAAAAAAAAGAGAAAATTTTCTGATTTCAAACTAACTACCTGGAATCATCAGCATTCTTTGTAAATTGTTGAAGAACAACTTATTTTTCTCAAAAACTAGTGTAAAATAATGAAAATTTTCAAGATATCTGTTTCTGATTTTCAAACAAGAGCATAAGACTCTCACCTTGACAGAATCCCAACAAGAATCCATCAATGGAACAACTAAGACTTCATGAGAACGTTATGAGAAAATTATGGATTTAAAATTCATCTTTGAAAACATATATCATTGTGCAAGTGATCAAGGCAATATTCAAACTGTTGTTTCACCTATTTAATATTAGAGGATTATTAGAGGGTATTCAAATCTTAAAAGTTGAAAATATCAGGCACACTGTGAGCATTTCTGCCTGACAGTGTAATGTTCACATGTAATTTGTACCTCATGATGTCTTTTTGCAGAACCTTTTCCCTCAAGCATTCAATGTAGGATCATTAATAAGGATTATAGTGACGATCAGAAATAATCCAGTAATGACGTGACACATAACACATTATACAACATGAGATCTAAACCAAAAATAGATGTTATGAACAATGCCAGATTCTCTGTAAAAAAGGGGGGAGCATATTGATCTACAAGAGTTCTACTTCAAGTCACTCTTACTATATGAAGTCTCTAACTGGTCACCAATTCAGAATTTCTTGTCAAAAACAAATATTTCACTTGAAATGGCAAAAACATTTCGTGAATAACACAAATATATTGTAAAATTAAAGCTGCGAGCAATGAGCTGACAAAATGATACCCCCCACCCCCCAAATTAATATCCCCCACTTTCAGTGAAATCAGGGGACAAAACTTAACTGCACAGAAATGTCAGGGTCCCTTTTTCTACAATGAATTTTAATAAATCTACAATGAATTTGATAGTTTTCAAAAAGGACAGATAAATAAATTGTGTGTTACCAGATCCCCTACCTACTCTTCATTATATGAATTGACACTGAAATTTTTTTTTTTAGGTTTACTTGTATACTTTTTAGAAGAAAATTCTCGTTTCACTATTAACAGGATTAGAAATCCTTATTTTGGTCTTTTATGTGTTTTAGAAAACACATATCCTATGTTCTCCAACAAAATTTCTTGCAAAATCTCAAAGAAAATGTAAGAAAATGTTATCACCAGGGACAACCTCTTTGCAAGATATGAATTTTCGACCTTGACCTTTTGACCTTAAAATTAATAGGGGCCTTCTTTAGGCCATAAGCATGATAAGGAGCTGTAAAATTTCATTCCAAAACTTAAAGGCTTTTTGAGATATCATCTAGAAAGGAAAGTGTTACACAAAAACAGAATGACAGATAGACAGAACCAAATTAGTATCCCCCATTTTCATTGAAAGCAAGGGACGAAAAAAAAACTAAAGTATTATTTCAAATTTTAATTGTCTGAAAATATGGCAATGTTTTTTCTCTTAGGTTTTCTTAATGTTTCCTTATGACATAATGAAACTTACTTATTTTTCTTTAATAAACTGAATTGACCAAAATGTCCAATAACCAAAACATTTAGTAAAAGATTATTTTTTCCCTAAGCAGCTGACCTACAATAACATCATATGGGATTAACTATTCAAATAATACCCATAAAGGTCTGTTTTGTGTAAAACTGAGTAACCACACTGGGATCAGATAAAAGGATAAAAGAATTGATCATTTGAGACACTTTGATTTCTGAACATCAAACAGACAATTAGTACTACCAATTTTTATAACCAAGGTAGGGGTGCAACGATACACTTACCTCACGATACGATACATATCACGGTATTCAGTTCACGATACGATATGTATCATGATACATGACAAAGTTAAAAAGTCTTTCAAGTTTGTATCATTTTTTTTTTAAACTTGACAGGGTTATATAAAATGTTCAAATTTTTAATAATAATTAAAAAAAGCTTTCTGTTAACTTGAATTGGATTGTTAGGTAGTTCTTTGAGTTGTGACAATATTCTAAACCAATGATGAACATTTACTAACAGTGAACTACGGGGACCTTTCCTAATAATCTTCCTTTTAAATTGGAATGAAAAAGGAAGACATTCATTCTGTTATTCCTTTTATTTACATAGAAAACCAGTTGTCATATTTCTCGTGTTAACACGTCTTAGTCAACAAAACAGCGAATTTTCATCGAAATACACACGTGATAAAATATCGTGTATTACCAAAGAATACGTTTAGATCTAAAGGGTTTTTACTTTATCATTTGTCTTAATATCTATTTTAACAACTTATAATCACATTAAGTCAGAGACATATAAAACCCAGGGTTTTATATGTCTCTGATTAAGTCCTTCTCCGTGTTAAATCTGAGGTCTGTAAGATGATGGAGATAAGTTCAACTGCCGTTAATGCGTTATCGACGAACTTACGTTTTGTGCGGAAGGCATTTTGAAATTGTAAAAAAGGGAACAAAATGGATGATTCGGATAATTATGGACCAATTGAACCGAACCGCAATATCAGTTTAGTGTATCGTGAATTGAACCGTGGAAAAATATACCACGATATACCGTCAAACGGTTTATCATGGCACCCTTAAACCAAGGTGATTGGAATGATAAAAATAGATATCTTTTTTTTCTGATAAAATATTCAGGGACAATAATATCTAGTGCATAAGGCCTATTTCCTTACTTGCATTTTGTTAATCAAAAATTCACTCTTTTTTTTATATCACTAAAATGAAGTAATGACCTTGGCCCCTAACACATCAGTGACCTCTTGCTAAAAATCACATCTCAGCACAGCAGCTTTAATCATTCCAGTGTATAGATTTACTTGAATCTGAAATATTTAAACAAGCCCAAGAGAACATCACATGACAATCCATTGAATATAAAACTGGTTCTTACCCACAATCTGGGGCTGGACACCAGCGAGTGTCAGGATCAGAGACAAGAACACGGCGGACCATGAAATCCTCATATTTATCCATCAGACCCTGGTTCTGAAGGATGTTCTGAATGTCATTAGGGTGGTACTTCTCTGTGCACTCCGGACAGGATATGTTAATGCGACTCTCGGTGATTTCTATTTTTAAATATGTCTGCAGACATGTGCTGCAGGACCGATGATGGCATGTCATGATTTCTGGGAAATCCTCAACAGGTCGCTCTATCAAACACAGGGGGCACTCCCTCATTCCCGATGCAGAACTCTTCACTGGCATATGTTCTGTCTCTGGGACAGTCTGGTTCATGATGAGAACCGGATGGGCAGGCTCTCTTTCAGAGGAAGCTGGACTTAAGCTCATCTCAGATTTACCAGAGTCTGAGTCTAAACTGATCCTGGACTTTGATTTACCAGTTCTAACTCCAGGATAAAAAAGTCGTCTGAGAGAAAACCGACTTAGTCTCCGGCGCTCTGAACCACGGGAATTACCAGACGAAACAGACATGGCTGACACTGCATGTACTCCTTCTGAATCTCTTTTCTTCATTTCAATGAATATTTCTTCCTGTAATAATAATAAATATGATGAAATACAGTGCACAATATCCCATCACATAATTCATAATGAATGGAATTCTCATTTCCTGTAAATGGTAAACCTCTGGCACTTAATGAGAGGCAATCCATGTTCACGTACAATCACTTAGAATCTCTGAAATCTCCTCCTTAGAAATGATGTCTTTAATTATAAATGGCCAATACTTTAACATGTACAACCTGCTTTTAACATATCACATGAACATGATGAATGTAATCAGAGGGTGAAAGCGAAAGTGCTATTTCATATATTGCCTCTTCACACTTTAAATAAGCAGAATTTCAACAGTTCAAATAATGACTTAGCCCTTGGTACAATATATGTATCTTTGTACCCAGTATTCCAGGAACTGAAATAAGCTGCTTAATCATGTTAATGTGTGGTTTTAAGTGTTATGCATAACACAAAGGGAAATCCCAAATACATCTGTTTCTAAAACAGGATTTCAAAAATATATATCAAAAAAAAAAAAAAAAAAAAAAAAAAAAGAAAAACCCAAGTTTTTATGTTTTTTTTTTGTTAACTGTACAGTAAAACTTGGTAATAAGATTAAGTCACTGTGACCTTGATTTTTTCTTCCTTATAATAGAGATTCTTTACATCAATATAAAGAACTTAGTGAAAAGTCTTCATTAAATTTTTATTATAACCTAGACTTCCTTAGAAGTCAGATTTTTACTGTATATAATTGTTGTTTTATTTTATTTAAATTTTTTTTTTTTTTGAATGACAGAATTTTTTGAAAGCCTGGACTCTACCTTAAACATGTTATGTATAATAACAGTTACTGTTAAAATTTAATGTTATTCTTACTTGTATTACACAATGTAAAAACCAGGAACTGAAATGTAAACATGTACACTAAGTCTTGATTCCAATGAAAGATTAAGTACTGCACTACATCCTTAGTACTTGATATACATTAGACAAGTTAGTACTTTTCATCATTTACTTAAATTATCATGCTTCTTTTTATCGAAAACACACTTCAGCCACCACAAAAATAACCTACTCTTATTGTAATCTTATACATCCATACTCCAGTCCAAAACTGACTACTCACCAAAGCTTGTTATCTTGTAACTATTAAGTTTTTAAATAATTTTTAGTAACATATTGTTCATCAGAAGAAACCCTCAAGATGTCCTATGTAAAATATTTCTGATAAAATACTATAGTAGGTAAATACTGTTCTGATTTATTGGACCTTGTTTGGCTACTCAAATGTAAAACTGAATGTTTTGCTTTTCTTAATAGCAATCAAACTGCAGAATTCTGGTTGGACTAAAACTTTCAAGAATGTTTACATAACTAGCTCCCTTTTCCACCTGCTGACCCCAGAAAAATATTTCTAATATTCCCTGCTATACATAACACCTCAATATAGATGATTACAAACATAATATACAGATACCTTTACTCCATATTTTCTATATTCATTCCTGTCAGGTTCTGTCTAATTTTTCTTTATTTTTTTTTTACCCACAATTTATAAACGCAGTGTATAAATAGAAATATTGGGATGCTAAATTCATGAGAAAAGTCATTTCGAAATTGTTACATACATAACTAAAAATTTAAAAATCTACTCCTTGCATTTCTAACTTTTATGTAAGCTGTGTAAGTTGTGAATGAATTAGAAAATTCTTGGCAATTTATTTACCTTTGTGGAAAGATTGATCATTGAATGTTCATATTGAACAAACTTCTGAAATAAATTCTGTACCATCATATTTAATGCACATATCTATCAAAGTAATACACAATAAAGTAAAAAGAAATAGGGGTTGGGAAGATCTTGAAAAAAAATCCTTTCATAGCAAAAGGTGTCATTTAACAACAAGAGGTACTGTGAGCACTGAGCTCACAAATTATACCCCCACTCCATTTTTTGCTATGGGAAAGCCCAAATATCTGTTTGATCAAAACATTAAGTAAATGGTAAACAATGGCATTATGTAATAATGATTCTATGAAAGTATTGTTAAATTTTATTCAGTGGTATAGGAGGAGTTGCAGATAAGGGATGGGCACCCCTGATATTATAGAAAGAATGACAGTGCCAATGTGTTGCTATGAGTAATCAACCTGAAATATATATGTGTCCAATCAAAAAGTAAAATAGGAGGTGCAAATGGCACTGTGTAATTAAGATTCTGTAAAAATCTCATTAAATTTTATTCAGTGGTATAGTAGGAGTTGCGGATAAGGGATGGGTACCCCCAATTTCATAAAAAAGAATGGCAGTGTCCATGTTTTGCTATGGGAAACCCAAAATATGTGTCCAGGGCTCAACATTAACAATTGTTCGATTACCCGGGGCAAGTAAATTCTCAGTTTGGGCAGGAGCAACTGTCAACTTACTTGTTCAATCGGGCAAGTGAATTTTTCTGAGAGAAATGTATATTATTATCTAACTTACATTAATTTATAAATGTAAAACACTAGTGCTTGACTGACATTGCTTCTGCATTCAGAATCACTTGGAAGAATTTCTAGATTATACCGTTCATTTAACCAGAAGTCTCTGATGAGACTGTAGCTCTACTGGTTTGTACTTAAAAGTAGCACTTGGACTTGAAACTTTGCAACAGCAATACATAGAATAATGATCCTTGGTGTAGTCTCTTTTTGTTTTATTGAGATTTTTGTATTATCAAGATTTAATGCAATCAGACTAAATCTGTAGAAGGAGTAGCCTTTTAAAAGAATTTTACAGAAATTTCAATTTTAGTAACCATGACAACATCATTCAACAAAATCACAAAAAACAATAAAGACAATTTTGTATCATAGTGTAGTCTACTTGTGTGCCAAGTTACACTGAAATCGGATCAAAACTTTAGGAAGAGTAGCATTTTGAAAGTTTTTCACAGAAATTTCTATTTTTAGTAACCATGGCAACACCGTTCATTGGAATCAAAAACCAATACACAGAATTATGTATCTTATTGTAGTCTACTTTTGTGCTAAGTTATATTGAAATCAGACCAAAACTGTAGTAGGAGTAGCGTTTTGAATAGGGATGTCAAAATTGTCAATAATTCATATTCAAATATTCGATAGGAGTATTCAAATATATTTGAATATTCGATAAAATAAATAAGTCTTGCATTATATCATATATATCTTCACTCTTGTGTCAGCTAGTACACGTTTAATCCATTATTTTGAAATAAAATATCATGTATAGTCTTGTAAATGTGCAGTAATTAAAGTATCTTTATATGAAATATTTCGCAATGTATTGTAGAATATATTATATATACATGAAGTTTATACATCCAAAACATAACTCACAATTTTATTGAAAATTCAAAAGATTAATTGATTGTCTTGCCAAAGACTACACTGATAACTCCTACAGATTTATACCGCATAAGAACAACTATCTGCTGGAGAAAAATTATCTTAATTAATATATTATGTTTTGAAAATAAAAACAAACAACTTTAGAGCAATTATTTTCAGTTAATTTCCTGATAATGATTTTAATTATATATACATAAACAAGGAATCCACGCGTTTATTGAAAAAAATTGTGTCCTTTCAACAATACAAACTGAATCAAGAGGAATATTTTAATTTTGTTTTAAATCATATGCTCGATTTTTTTTTATCTGATTGCAAGAGGGCCGGGATTTTATTACCAACGACATGGCAGCGAGATCTGAAAACCCAATGGATGTCCATAAGTTACTGAATTTCCATTACCATTCCTCTTAAAATATTGCCAGACATTTGTTTTTGAGTAAATGACTTTTCCTCTGGAACACATAATTCAAATTAAAATGTAATCAATTAAAATTGATTAAATTTTTAATAAAACTTGACAGATTTTCCTCTCTTTTAAATACACGCATACTTAAAAAAACGAATATTCAAATCATAAATTCATATTCGAATATCAGCTCATCGAATGAATATTCGAATATTCGTTGACATCCCTAGTTTTGAATGTATTTCCCAGAAATCTGTATTTTTAGTAACCATGGCAACACTGTTCATTGAAATCAAAATCCGATATACAGAATTATGTATCTTAGTGTAGTCTACTTATGTGCCAAGTTATATTGAAATCAGACCAAAACTGTAGGAGGAGTAGCGTTTTGAAAAATTGTTTACAGACGGACGGACAGCCAGACAGACAGACGGACGGACGACGGACACCTTACTATCGCATAAGCTCTTCTGGTCTCTGACCAGTAGAGCTAAAAATCAGGTTCATTATTCTGTTTTCTTTGGTTTTCTGCTGTCTTTCTTTGGTTATAATGCTCAACGTCTAACAACTTTGATACCTACTAGGAAACTAAATTCACTTAATACACTGACAGAATATAGGTAACACGACCTATCCTGATCAAGATATATATGTATGTTTCATAGCAATGATCTTCCTTTACGTTGCATCACAGTTATCCGAAAATCAAAAATCACAAAACGATCCTACTGAAAATGATTTTCAAAAATATGATTTATATTATAAATGAAATGGGGGGGTAGTGATGCATTGCAGTGTGTATTAACACATTTAATTGACAAGGACAGTGGTATACATTTATGTACAAATGTATCATCCAATTTTTTTTCAGGTACCTCAACTTGCCAAACTTACTGTTGTGTATCTAGTCACACTTTTTTCTTCTCATAACATTTTCAGTAATAAATTATTTTTTTCCTTCCTAATTTGGGCAACCAAGTTTTGCATTCGGACAAGTCAAAGTTTGAGATCACTTGCCCAAAGGGCAAGTGAATCTAAAAGTTAATGTCTATCCCTACTGTCCAATCAAAAGATAAAGTAGGCGGTGCACAACGGTTCTATGTAATAAAGATTCTTTGAAACAGTGAAAGTATCATTAAATTTTATTCAGTGGTATAGGAGGAGTTGCGGATAAAAGACAGTACCCCTGATATTATAGAAAGAATGGCAGTGTCTATGTTTTGCTACGGAAAACGCAAAATATATGTCCAATCAAAAAGTAAAATAGGAGGTCACAATGGCACTATATAACAAAGATTTCGGAAAAGTATCATTAAATTTTATTCAGTGGCATAAGAAGACTTGCGGATAAGAGATGGGTACCCGACGCATAATGGATGGACATAGTCAGACATACACCCCCATCACTATACACCCCCCGCTTTTCAAGTGGGAAATAAAAAAATAAGCATGATGGAATATAAATTAAATATTCTAAAATCAATAATGAAAATTATAAAATTATAAAAGCACAATACACTGGATTTCAAAAAGAAAGATTATGATAAACATCAAATGTGAATATTTAAGTTCAGATTTCAGATCTAATGCATTACAGGATGAGGTAAACAGAAAAAGACAAATTTATATCAAAACTGATTTTACAGATAGTCTTCTTTTTTTGGTTTTAATTATTGTTACCCACTGGAACAATTACCAAGAATTATCCTAGATGAATCCATTACATTGGTATTTCGGTAGACAGACACCTCGGCCCAACGACACCTCGGCCCGTCACATTTGACACCTCGGCCCTGACAGGTCGGCCCAAAATTATTGACACCTCGGCCCATACTGAAGACACCTCGGCCCAAGGAATTTTTTTTTTCAGAATTATTATCTGTATTCACTATGGTAATATAAATATATGTATGTTTATAATGACGATATGTATACGATAAACAGGGGCAAATAATTTCAAAATAGATTAATGATATAAAGATCTATGTCAGCTGCTGACAGTGGGAGATAGAAGGTCTATTTATTTATTTATTTTGTTGCTTATGAAAATGCAACTTTATTCATTTCATAATGTTAAGAATTCTTTTACTTAAAAATCACTTTGTAGTAGGGGCATATTGTACACGTTAACCTCACAGATAGAAATTACGTTAACCTGATAGATCTTCGTTGCGTAATATTAGAGCATAATGGATATATTTCCCTAAACCAACCAAGGTAGATATGTGGTTTGTACCCAACAATTGGATTAATTTAGCCTGCTCGTAATTAACTCCATCCCACATGACACGCGCTTGAGACGGCAAAGGATGCGCCATGTCTTCTTGTTTGTTTAACGATTAGCACTTTGGGATGGACAGTCTTTTATTAATTACCGCCAATATTTATTCATTTATTTTCTTTTTTATTTCATGGATATATAATAATATAATCCGTCGCATTTAGTCCCTATAATAATAAAATACTTCAGAATATATTAAATAAATATGTTTTAAAATAATACATTTTTGTTTGTGCCAAGGTGTCTTTTACGTGAGCCGAGGTGTCTCAAATCTTGGGCCGACCCGTCGGGGCCGAGGTGTCAATGGGCCGAGATGTCGTTGGGCCGAGGTGTCTGACATTCGGTATTTCCATACTATAGTAACAAGGATCCTTTCCATTAACTTCATTAAACATGTTAAACAGACACAGTACAGATTCTTTTTAAAACCTCTTTACGTGCGTTAACGGATATAAAACACCTACTCGGATGCTTACAATCTTTCTAATATATTGAAGTCCGTAAATGGAATAAAAAGATGTAAATAACCTGGTTTCACTACATTTCAAAACATAGTCACTGTACTGAATGTAGCATCCATGATCAGACCTTACTCTGGAAAAAATATTTTCATCGCATAGTGGAGATTATAACAATAACCTACATTTAATACCAAGAGGTTCAACCACCTAATTAGCCTAGTATTTTCCCAGTACAGTAAAGTGTTTTCCTTAATCATGAAAATCTAAAAATAAACACCACTTACATATTCATTGTTTAACATACCTTAATCTTAAAAATATATATAAATGGTTTCCTTATGTTAATATATTGGGTTTATTCCTTGTCTCCTGTTGAGATATTCTTCCGAACATCTCCATTTTTCCGATTCCTTTTCGCAACCGTTGATGACAGTTAAAACAAAATGGCTACACCCTGCCGGAAGTGCATACATAATAATGCTTATATTTTCTATGGTTCATTTTCTATTTTCAATACAGCCCCTACAATGGATTCAAGGGAGGAAAAATTAAAGTTTGTACATTTTATTAAATATAATTTTTGTTGATCTCTTAACAAAACTGAAAAATTAACTGAAGGGTCACCAAGTACAAGAGAACTAGTTTAGCTTTGCTAGTGCCCATAAGTTGGCGGATCAAAGCTTAATCCATGGGGCGTCCAACTATGATAAAATTAGGCTTAGATCAAGAATCTGGGGGTCGTAACATAAAGCTTGCTAAGTTTTTCACTTAAGTAGGGTCATAAGTATGTTTTAGGTGCAATCTTAAGACCTGCCTAAGTACTACTTAAGTATGTCTTAAACCGTAACATAAAACGGACTTAGGTAGGTCTTAGCTAAGTCAAACTTATGTTCAAAATATTTGTTATGAATCATCCTAGTTTTTCAATTCATTTATATATATTTGTAAAAATGATTTAGTTACGTTTTTAATCACATATATATTAATGCTGACGTCCTTACTTATCGGATTTAGCTAGGTTAGATTAATTTCGTATTTAATTAAAGTTAATTCTGTTTAAATTATTCGAAATAGTTTATACAATGTATTTGAAAAGAAATATTGCACAGTCACAAAGTGGCACTAGTGGTTCATTGTAAATGCGTGAATATTGTTTATCACTCGAGACTGCGATGTTTTCAGTTTACCGTTTGTTGTTATTCTTTCGTTTGACAAATGTTCACTTGCTTTCAAATTGTCTTTCTCGCAGACATGGCACGATAACCGAACGTCTATGTACTTGAAATTGAAACTCTAATTTAAAAAAAAGTGCAAAACAAAAGGGACATTTTGAATTTTTTTCCTCCCATATCAGTAAGAAGAAAATGCAGCCGTTTTATGATATACTTATTTACAATTTAATGAAGGATGGAAATTAAAGAATTGTTTTCAGAAAATAATTTTTCATATATCTCCAACTTATCAACAATCTCTCTCTCTCTCTCTCTCTCTCTCTCTCTCTCTGGAACGTTAGTGAACGGTAGTGTACCCTGTCTGAATCCTCGCTTGTTGCGTTGTACATTCAATCTAATTTACAGAAAATCTTTATTTGTTTTCTAGTCATCATCCTTTAATTCACCGACAATTTTTAAAATCATTTCATCTCATTTTCTCACAGTGAACAAACAAATCCATGATTGCCGTATACAAATTACTTTTATAATTGAAATTATACAATATACTTATAATGATTAGTGTTTATAACCTAGGTCACACTAATATTTCAAACGTATCCCAAAAATAATATGTTGCATTTACCATTTACATGTATATGTCATTTAGAGAGTGATATTGTAATCAGTGATGAATAACCCCCCCCCCCCCCCCCGACGAAAAACTAAAATTCTTATACCAGTATATTAAATATAGAAAATTATTTTTTAATGCATAATATAAATGGAGGAATGTTTTAACATAGATAGTCAACCTTAAATAGTTCTAAATATATGTTTAAGAAAGTTAAGACATACTTAAGTCACCTCTTCCGGCCGCCTAAGTTTTGCTAAGATTGTCAAATCTTAGCACGTTTCTAGTTACGGTCTTAAGTTTAAGACTGTACTTAAGTCCTACTTAAGCATGGTCTTAGACTTAAGTACCCTTTATGTTACGACCCCCTGATGTGTGTGAGATATCTTATTCCGTGCTTACCAATTAACACACACATCTAGATAATAGAAAAACAATTAGTTCGTTTTTTTTGCGACTATTGTCCATTGTTATTCATCTTGGTATTCAAAATATTATATTTAAAAAAAAAAAAAAAAAAAACACTATTCAGTTTGAATTTTAATAAGCTTTGCCTTAACCAAGATCAAGGTCAAATCCGATTAAAATGTTTGAAAAGTTCCATTTTGTTTCACCCATGTACTAAGTTAGAATCAGTTATAACAGTAATATGTTGACGGTGCGACCGGTAGGGCGAGCGCAGATACCTTTCAGTTTTAATTTAGATCGGGCTCGTCAAGCCGCACGTGATATTTGCTACGTCTAGACTCTGACGTCATATGACGTGTATGCTGCATTACCAAAACGGAGTCTGATCAGTGCTAATTTTAATCAAGAACGTTTAATCTACTATTTATCTGCTATATATCCATTAAATCAAGGTAATTTTATTTTTTGTTGAAATTTTTTTGCTACCGCGAGAACGTAATTTGCGTCGAGATGCAATTCGCTAAGCATTATGGGACCACAGGTAATTGCGGAAAAAAAAATCATTTGGATCAATGTGCAAAGTCCGAATTTTCTCTTCGCCCAGGCGTTGCTTTAAGAGCTCGCAGTGACGAGCGGCGCTTCGCGCCGCTCGCTGCGCTCGCTATAATCAGATAATGGGTCATTCTACAGTGTTCTAAACAAAGATTTAGATTTTTCCTTCATTTCCCAACTTCAACAGTTCAATGTTCTTGGCCAGATTAAGTCAATAAAAATCTTCGGACCCTATCTAAAACTACCCTATGATTTAGGTATAAGATCACATAAACACTGACAAAAGAGCTAAATACAAGTGTTATGTGGTTGACAGACTTTTTAACGGTTTAAAATCAACAGATTTCGTTTTCGAATTAGAAAGAAAGTAAATCGAAAAGAAAATTGTCACACCCGAAAAACGAAATGGAGAGAGGGGAAGATTTTCCTATGGAGAGCCAAATTGATCAGTTACATAGCACAATTTCAAATTCAATGAAAAACTGGAGAAGGGGGAAGGGATTACGGGCCCTTTTTAAAACCCCCTGAAACGCAGACGCGTGCATGTTTTCCTGACTGGGGGAGTTAAAAAAAAGGAAAAAATATTGATAGAAACTCCTACATTTGAAGAGTGGCAAAACTGTGGTGGTATCTTTTTTTGAAATGTTGTTATACTGTACGTCACACTCTAAACTGTGCATAACTATCTTATATCAATTTATTTTATTACCATGGAAATATTTCATTTTAAAATTTCTCAACGAATGGGGGTAAATATTTACCAGACACAGAAGAACTTTTCTTTCAAAAATATTGATGACGGGAAATAACAACTTCAACTATGTTAAAATATGTAAAATAAATAATTTTATAATTAATAAAATAGTTTGATTGTTTCAATTTCATTTCAACAATTTTCATTTTTTTTCTCCGAAATTTTGAGAAAAGAAGATTTACTTTATGATAGGTGTACTGGTGTAGATCGCTTTGGATACTTGAAAAAGCTTTTCCATAGCCAGGTTCGTAGAACACCGGGGGGGGGGGGGCAGAGGGGGCGCCCCCACTTTTTTTCTGAGTATAGTATTTTGCTATTGTAAAGTTTCCTTAAGATGCTGGTCCCCCCCCCCCCCTTCACTTTTTGATGTTGTAAGGTCGAACACTGACAAATTCCAGGATTTAAACAGTAAATAAGATAAGCTTTTTTTTCTTGCTTGTCAGATAATTTTGGGAAGTTGGCCCTCCACTTTTGGTCACTTTGTTAGTTAGTTTGTTGTTTGTTTATTTATTTATTTATTTATTTATTTATTTATTTATTTATTTATTTATTTATTTATTTATTTATTTATTTATATTTTTTGCTTGTTAGATAATTTTCGGAAGTCCCCCTCCCCCCACTTTTGGTCATTTTTTTTTTTTTTTGCATGTCAGATATTTTTGGGAAGTTGTCCCCCCCCCCAACTTTTGAAACCGTTGCTACGGGCCTGATAGCACATAGCAAAACCCACAAAGTTAGCATATAACACTGGCAATTTATCATAGCAAACTGTTAAAAATCCATACGTGTAAAATTTGACACCTTCAATTACAGGTTACATGTATAATAGGGAGCGAAACCACCCGAGGCGAAACAAATCAAAGCGAACATGTAATGTTGGGTTGAACCCACCCTTTATCCACAGAAAGAACTTTTCCCTTTGAGACTGAGAATTTGAATGTTGTCGGGATCGATATTTTAATATAGGTGGCGCTCAGAAGCTGCCATATTACGCATGATTTTCATTTTGCCGAAAGAAGATACTTTGCACCGGGATAAAAATCAACAAGTAACACGTAAATCGGGACAGTCCGTCCTTTAGGCAGATTTGGTGCAGTAAAAAATAAAGACAGCAAAATGGCCAGTGTCTCCTATCACATTGCTAACCTGCTGGAGAAGGTGAATGTAGATTCTATATCCTGCAAAGTTACATTACTAGGTGTTATTATGGAAAGAAAGAAAGAGAGGGAAAGCGGTGTTCACATAAATATTGTGAAATATAATACAAAATTATGCGCATACACTATAATATTGCATGTATCATGTATTCCAGTAGATATACATGTTCAACAGGTCCAGTCCAAAGACTATTTCTACCTACGTAGCTATGAATAGCTACGTAGGTATTAAAACCTACCCAAAGTAGCTATTTTTACCTACTTTTTGCATTACTTGCATTTTGTGGCCGTGTTTATTTTGCAACATTGCCAATACACGGAACGAATTCTATCGTTAAACCGGGTCCGTAGGACAATATCATTTTAACGATAGAACGTTCTATCTAGGCGCAACATGGTGAGTACCAAATTTCTTGATACAGTCACACTGGTGATGAATACAACGAAATTTTGGCCAAAAGATGATTACTTCTTAAATTAACAATTTTGCATAGTAATGAATGCAAAATTGTAAATTTACGAAGTAATCATTTTTTGGCAAAAATTTTGTCATATTCATCATCAGTGTGACTGCATCAAGAAATTTGGTACTCACCATGTTGCGCCGTTTGGCCACAAAATGCAAGTAATGCAAAAAGTAGGTAAAAATAGCTACTTTGGGTAGGTTTAAATACCTACCTAGCTATTAATAGCAACGTAGGTAGAAACAGTCTTTGGACTGGACCTGTTCAAAGAGGTAGCTTGTAGTTTTGACAATCTTAGGTATAAACCAAGACTCCTCTGACTCTAACTTTGAAGG